TTTTTTTTTTTTGTGTGTTTTTGTTCGATCTGTGTTTGTTTTTTTCTCCTATGTAGAGTTAGTGTCTCTGTTTTGGAGTTTGGCTTTGTGGTTGTTCGCCTCTTTGATGGAGTTTGTATCCCTCTTGTGTGTGATCACAAGGGGTTGGTCCAGTTTTCTGGTTCTGTGTCACTCGGTTGTAATCTTTTGAGTTTTTAAGTTATTAATATAATTGCCGATTATTATTTTTTTAAAAAAAAAAAAAGAATGTCAAAACCTCATGTGGCTTGTGTCTTTATCTTTCAAAATTAGTGTTCGTGGTGGTACATTGTAATCGGAATTTATTGGCCAGTGTTAGTTTTCTTTATTGGTTCTGTTGGTATGACTCATATATAAGGAAGGCGGTAGACTGATGCCTGCGAGCGTAGCGGAGCGAGCGTAGCGAGGGAAGCGGAGCGATTGAGCGAAGCGAGCGGAGTACATGGTGTATTGATGTATTGAGAGATATTGATAATAAAAGGATATCGCTCTGCCGCCGTGGATGTCGGCACATTGCCGAACCACGTAAATCCTATGTTGTTTATTTTTTCGTTTTTAATTTGCATGCCATATTGTCATCTTTTCACAACAAGTTCATTCCAGCTCAACATCACCTAGATAAATGCAAATGTATAGTACTTTTTTTTTCCTAGTTTAATCCATAGATATTGCTCAAAACTAATGTTTATGTATCCTTTGATTTGGTTGATTTTATTTTATTGTAGTTGCAAAACAATTGATCCATGACAAAAACGGGTTGAAAATGGTACAACTAAAATTGATCCATCTAACTAGCAATTGATATAAATCGCTAGTGTTCCGAAAGAACTTTTGTATCTTTTTATAAAATAGAGTCCGAATCTCATACGATGCATGAGTTGGGTAAATAATATTAAGAATATTATTAAATTAAATGTTGTATTGTATGTTTACTATGTTAATATATTATAAATTACCCGTCATTATAAAAATTGAATACCATACATTAATCTAATCTAAAATTAGATTAATGTCATCATGAAAATTGCGAGGAGTCTAAGTTTCATGTAATTTTTCTCAAACTCATTAACATAGGTAAATAAAAATACTAAATTTTATCTTATTTGTGAAAAATCTGTTCAAAACATTTGGAATTATTTAGACTTTTTTTTTTTTAAAAAAAAACACCTATAATTTTGTCTACTATTTATTGGAAAACACTTACAATTATATATACTATTTTAAAAAAAACCTACCATTTTATTTGATATTTTTAAAAAATATCTAAAAATGCATCTAATATTCTAGGCTAATTTCCAATCATCATTTAGTATATATATACCACATCTAACATTATTTTAATTTGAAACAATAAAAATGACATAAACATTTTTCTATAATCAATTGTTTATTAAAGTTATAAATCAAAATCCAATCATTATTAAAGTTGAGAGATGAAAATCATTTAAAATGCTCCAACGTAATTTAAATAATAGAAATCATGGACATTATACAAATCACTCACCAATACCAATTACAAGAGAAATTCAGTTGATCATTGTTCTCTGTTCGTGTTCCTTGGTGGTGTCAGTTCATCGTTTAAATATTACGGTTGCCAAAATTATTTTTTTATTAATTAAGTGCCAAATTTTTATTGAATAGACGTCATGAAAGTAAATAAATGAAAAAAACATATAAATAGATTATAATTAAATTTAACAAAATATTTATCATTAAGTTTTGAAATTTGAGTGTATTTTTTGGATTTGAATGCCATAATTAATTGTATGTATTTGGGATGTGGTAATCTTCTAAATTATTATATGTAGACGTTTTATCATTGCATATAAAAATAAACTCAAAACTTGAGCACACACAAAAACACAATCTTCTCCCTAATACAAGAGCATTCACTGCTACCATAAGCACATGTATTATCATTGCATTCACTGCAATAAACACATAATTATCATTTGCCTGCCAATTACTCGCATAAACGCACTCTAAATCCTAGCTTAGTACACTGTTCTAATTGAAATATCAATAGATAATTATTAAATAAATATTTTATCGTTAATTCTGGTGAAAATGTGTGCGTTTAGTATTTTCCAGTCTAGAGAATACTTTAAAAATATTTTGCACGAAAAAACTATTATATGTCAATATACGCCTTAAATACTTATTCAAGTGATTTATTGAATGTTATCCATGTTGATGCGCGGAATTTGATCAACGTATGTATATGTATATATTTGAATTTCTGTGATTTTTTTGGGAGTAATTGTCATGAAAATATTCCAGAAAAAATGGCAAGGGAAAAATCAAACCTCAGACACCCATACTTGTTCATCATAGGGGTTATATATGTTGATTTTTGGTGGGCCAATATTGTCACAAGTTACTAAAAAAAAAGATAAAAATAAGATAATCAATGTAATTTGATCAACATATCCACGTGTAAAATATTTATTCGTCGAAGCCAAATTAGGTATCAACCCATATTCGTACAATATGGTAGTATATTTTTCATAATATTACAATATGATTCTTTTAATTATTTCAATTCATCCAAACACCGTCATTTTATTTATATTGTTACCAAGAAATTCATATATGCTAAATAAAAACAATAAGATTGAAATATCTCAACGGATTTAGCGGTGGATAGGAGCGCTTGGAAGCTAGCATGCCAGAACCGTAACTTTTGCTCCTTTCTTTTTTGCTCCAATCTCTCCCTTTTGTTTTTGAGTTATTTTTGTGTTTCTCTTACCATTGATTCTCTTGGGTTTCATCTCTAGCCTACTCCAACTTGTTTGGGACTAAAAGACATGTTGTTGTTGTTATTGTTCTCGTCGTTTCTCCCTCTCGATGGAAAAATGAGTTACAAACACTAAAAACTCACAAACCTGCTACAACCAAAGAGAACAATTCGGCACAAGACAGAACAAAATCCGCACTTGACTGAGTTAGACCAATCTTATGTATAACACAAACCTACTACAACCAAAGATAACAATTTACTTCAAATAAATGATATCATACTGGAATACCACGCCAATGCAGAAATATTTCCTCACAGACAAAAAATCACACACATCAACTACAACTTAGCCGCTTTAAAGTGACAATTGGTAGCTTCAAAACCATCTGAACGAATCCCGTGGCTGCTCACATTCAGGCCATTTACAGCACGCTTTGTATCGCCGCTTTAAATTCCTTCGCATATCTTAGCTTTCTATATACAATACACATATCACGTGCAATCCCTTCAGAAAAATGATGTCATATATGATACCACTTGCGATTTTCCATAACCTTGACGAGCTCGTTGGCCAATGATGCAAAGTCCTCAGCTCCGTCTTTCAGGTCTTCAGTCCGCCTGCTGATTCTCTGAAGTGAAATTACAAATATACCCTTCGTTATAAGCACAACCCAAAGGTTAAGGCCCTTGGAATTAACATCTCAAATAACCACATAAAATTCAATAGGAAGTGAAGTTCACATTTCTGATACTAATATTAGGTACTAATAATTAAATGCAATTTGAAAGAAATTCATCTGCAGGTAAGTCCCTCCAACCTCTAATTTTTCTTGGCGCTCGAGAAGCTTATCTTTAGCTTGTCCAGCAGCAGATGAAGCGTCCTTCCAATAAAAAAATAAAAAAATATGACAAACGAGCACAATCAACTCGATAACTCCAACCCAAAAGGAGTTTATCTGCTTAAAATAAACCAATGCATAACTTACCCCAACATTTCTATACTTAGCAATAATTTCTTCCTTTGTTCTAATTCTGGGCTTAATCTCCGCACCATCATCAAGCAGCTGTTCTCTTTCATTAATTTTGTCTGCAAATAAATATAGTGGCTTCAATTACCCACTTATAAGGTTATATAAATGACAAAATTACAATGTTTAAAAGCAGCGTCGTGAATTACCTTTATCTCTGTTACCTACTTGATGTGATGAACTTGATGATGTCAAAGGTATAGAGTCATCAATATCAATGTCATCTGCACAGATTACAAAATAAACACCATAGCAGATATATATATATATATATATATATATATATATATATATAGAGAGAGAGAGAGAGAGAGAGAGAGAGAGAGAGAGACCTATACTGAGTTCAGTATCTTCATGCTCATCTACAGTCGTTGATGGTTCTGGTAGTGGGTTTCTCATGAAGATGTCCTCCAGATGACTGAAATCAGATATTGAATTCGAGCCGGGCCAAATTGACTTGTTTGATTTCCTTCTTCTTAATCCTTTAACAATACCACCCAAAATGCCGGGACTACTGCCCTATAGTACCAAACCGAGCATTTGTATAAAAAAACAATTAAAACTAGGACACATAAAATTCAAACACAGAGTTGCCAAGACCTGTTTTCTCTTGGGATCAGAAATACTAAATGCAGCAATAGCTGCAGCTGCAAGAACTTCATCATGAAGGCTAGGCAGGCTTTCTGGAATTCTGGGGAAAACATTACATGATAATTTATATCTTTTATAATAAACCTTAAAAGCTGGAAAAAAAAGAACAAGCGAAATAGCATCGGCTAATGAACTTGATAAAAGATACCTCAAGTCATTTTCACCCTCTAATAAAGAAATAAAAGCCACTTCGAAGCCATTTGCCTGTGTGAAATGCTCTCAGTATTAAAAAGAAAAGCAGGGGTTTATTTTCAGTTACGTTCCAAATTTTGCTAACCCAAGCTGATAAATAATAATAGTCAGTTCGAGCAGAATAACACAATCAGTATTGAATTACCAAGGTAAGAAGTAAATTTTCAGTAGAGCTAATCATCCTTTCCATGTTTGCCTTGACATTCCACCTTAAGTAAGACATCAAAGGAAATTCTATAACCAATTCCAAACCAGGCAACGATCTGCATAAGAGAAGCCATAACAACAGGTCGATTCAGACACTTAATTTGTGCCTGTGATGATTATAGTTTTTGCTAAAGAACTTCACCAACAAACAAACAACATAACTTCAGATGTGTACTAGATATTGAAAACAATTTTAAAGCGTTTATTATCGATTTGGTAAATTATTCAACGAATTGTTATTTAACGTACATTGGAAGGCTACGACTAATTCCGCCATTCATCATGTCCCATACGGGAGCGAAAGAAGATACTCGTATAAAATAAATCTTTTCTAATATAACCAGGATTTCCTTTACCATTTTGGTTGGTTTTAACTTTTACCCACTGTCAATAACATATAAATAAGTAAATATAAAAAAATATAAATTGAGGTGGCATACCTGATCTCAATCACTCCTGTCTCATAGAATACTACCAAGCCATAAACGTTTTCAGATTTCCTGAAAACTGTAGTCCAACAGCAGGGCTTTGAAAGTTTGACTTTACACATAGGTTTATTTTCTCCCTGATAAACCATATAATTTTAGTTAATGCAAAAAAAAAAAAGGACACACAGAGAGAGAGAAAATGAGAAACAAGAAACTTACACGGACCACAGCCTTGGCTGGGTATATACGCAGTGAATCTTTACAACAAAGCAAGACATATAACTCCTTCAAACTATGTAAACGGAAATCTTTATTTTTATCCAAAGTGTGGTCGCCAGTTTCATATTTTTCACTATCTTGAGCTTCATTTTGAGAAAGTTCATTTCTTATGGTATCATCATTTAGCTGCGGTTGTTTATCATCAGAATCGGGACCTCCCGGATTACTTTCTGAAGCATAAAAGCAGTTAGAGAAAGGCATATAATCGAGAGAAAGAGAATAAATCACCATTAGGAAGAAATACCTGCCTATAACATACAATGAAACAGCTGTTGACTTCTTCAACTGTATAGGCTTGGAGCTAATCATGCTACCATTATTACTGTTGATAACATATATACTTGCGCCTTCGGTTAATAAAAATATGCATTCTTCTGTACAGTAATGTGGAACTTTTGGTGCAGACTCATTGGTGTGTTTAGCTGCTTCATAAACAATGGCTTTACAGAATATCGATATCACTGGGGAGTTGTGAATGGATTCGGTCATAAATGCAACAGAAAACAAATGCACATCTATCACTACCACCTGAAACAAAAAGGCACAAACCATAATAACAATAATCAAAGGTAAAAAACAAAAAGAATAGTTCATTTGAACACAACCTGAGATAGGCAATTAGGAAATCACAATTATGTTACTCACTCGAGAGCATTCATATCCAACGATAAGTTTGGAGCCATCGTCTGTGAATTTCAATGAACGGACTCCTGATTTGTCAAGGTTGAATACAGCTTCGCATCTAGGTCCTTGGACTTGGGCAGAATTGTGAACTGCAAATAAATATTATTAGAATCAAATAGAGACCTGATGGCAAAATTGTGGTGGAGTCTTGAGGATTATGGTGGAATCCTAAAACTACTGGACCTAAGCTATATTAATATAGCTAAAAAATGAAAAACAAATGCAATTAATATAGAACGTGTAACTCCGGGAACTGTGCCAAGAAAGATTCAACCAATACTTGAGCTATTCTTGCTTGTGACAAATTAAGTATATAAATAGCAACTAGAGAGTCCACCGTTGTTTTCAGAACATTTATTCACTGACCAATATTGACTTAATCAAGGACAGCACATGAGCCATTGGTATCTAGCTGATAACACACTAATCTCAGCCATGTGTGATAACAGTTGAATTACCTTCAGTTTTAGTTTCTGAAACAAGATGAAGTCTTGTTTCACCACTGCTACAAAGGTTGTAAATTCGGACCTGCACAAGAACAAACCCAAGATTAAGACCAAGTAATACAATGAAACCATCTTTTATTGCTTACTGTCCAAAAATTAAGAAAAAATTCTAACCATGCCGCATACACTGCCAACAGTTAATCTCAAAGTGGCAGGGGATAAATCAAGGGCTGTCAATGAGGCACCAGAATTTTCACTGTTAAACTGTCAATCAATCACAAGCAGAAACTGACATCATGTGTTAACAAATGGACTTTGATGATACAAGATAAGACTTTTTGTTTTATCTTCGAACTTTATCACAATGAATTCAGTTAAAACTTTAACCTCATTTGTCAAAACACTGAGGAGTGAGAAAACAGGATAAGTCGCATCCCAGATTCGAACAGATCCATCCTGATAGCCTGCTACATACAAAATCTGGGCTTTGCCATCTTCAGTGGAAGATACACGGTTAATTACACCCCCATTTAAGGGCCACTTTTTATTCCCAGGCAGCATCAAAGCTGAATTTGTTGAACTTATCTGATCATACATAAAAGTAGACAAGTCAGTCAGTTAAGATTTATTCAGGAAAATAAAAAATGTACATAAAAATTATATTACCTTGGATCCTACAACCTCAATGCTTCTATACATATCAAAAATCTCAGCCACAGTCATCGATGGATCAGAAGTCGGTATACATGCAGGAAAATTTACAGGAGAGGTGGTTTCTTCTGACAAAGACAGACTGCCTGTATCGTAAATATGTATACGACCCGGGTTCATCAATACAAACAGAGATGCATCTGTATCATTCCCAGTTGTACCAGCAGAAGGTATCAAAATCATATCCGCAAAAGATCCAGTAAGAGTGAGGTCCACACGACTTGTGCATTTTACTGATTCCATTCCAGGTGACCACTCAAGATTCAGAACCTGCCCCAAAAGAACTTTTGAGAACATTTCTACTGTCTGATTGTTGATCTGTTTATAACTCTATCAAATAAGATTGTTATACCAATATCCCAGAACTAATCGGTATCACACATCAAGTTATTGTATGTCACTGTACAGATTAGTGTGTGAGCAAAAGAAAAATACATATACATCTGAAAGTTTTTGAAGGAAAGAAAAAATGTATGGATTACATTTATTTCCTAATATAAAGATCCTTATTTTAAACCAAATACGTGGAGGAAAAATTATTCTTTTCATCTACTCTTCGAGGAAAATATTAATCGGACATCAATATGTCACAAGTAATGGAGATTGACAAATAGGATAAATTATACTATCAGTTTGAAAGTGATAGCCCGAGAACTTATTTGATACCCACCGTAACAACTTCTTCGCATCCTATCTCATCACCACCATATACAAGAAGTTGACTTTCTCGACTGTTACGGGATTTGCTGTGGTCTAACCAATGCAAAACAACAACAGGGAGCCTCTTCTCAGCAGAGGACAACTGTAGCTTGACAACATTCGGTGGCATACCAGCTTCCCGATTTTTTATATAAGAATCTTTTGATGTATTCCAAAATAAAATATCCCCATCTACATACCCAACTGCAACACTAGATCCATCGGTAGATGCCCAACACAGAGCACTGATCTCTTTCTCTTCAAATTCATGGGAAGGTGAATCATCTATAGGATTGGAATCTGCATCATTTGGGTGAATAACTGTGTCTTTCAATTGGAGGGCCTTGTCACCTCGAACAACAGCTACATGTGCTTCTACCACATCCCAGAGAATAATTACCCCACTAGCATAAGCAATCAATAACCTGCCAATGCAGATATATTTTTGTTATAGTCCACCTATTGTAGAAATAAGTACGGTAAATTTCTGCTCAAAGTTGAAGTCTCCCCATCCCACTTTTATAGCCACATGTGTAGAAAAATTTCAGTCTAGAATGCAAGCCTTGGGTCTGAACATAATAAGAATATAAAACAATGAGGAAAGCAAGACTAAGACCAACTAGATTTAGAAATGTTTATGGCTATGGTAAAAACTTCAAAAGGCAACTTCAATTGAAAAATCACATGCAAATTCACTTGTGAGGAAACAGTTGTAATTTCCTCCATACATCTCCCGTCATATACTTTTCAATACACGCCTTGCACTTGGAAGCAAACTGTCTATTCAGCTAAGAAATAAAAACAAAACAGAAAACTAATATTGATAAAAGCAAACTGCTATTCAAGATAATGATAAAAGCAAAGAATAATATGATCTTGCCTATTTCCAGAAGACAAAGGCTGAGGAAGAAGTCCAACAACAGGTTGCTGATTCGTGAATGAGATACCAGCTGCTTCTGTAAAATAAGCACGACAAATGCTGTCTTGAATAGACATGTCACGAAATGGAAAGTAATAGTATAAACATGGCATGGAAGCTACAGGCTTGTTAAACTAAGAGTACTTTCTGAGGGAAGTTATACGATATCATATCGAAAGATTTTTATATGAGATGAACTTAAACAAATAAGTAATCAATAAATTTTTAAATCATAATATGTACGAATTACTCGCCACGTGGTATCCCCTGATAAAGCCAAACCCATATGTACTCTGATAGGTAGAGAATTTGTTTTGTTCTTTTTCGTAAAATAATATATTGTAAAGTGACATAAATTATGGCCAAACTTAAGGCCATGATCTTCAGACATCTGAACAAGTTACACAATACTGAAGTATTGAAACATTTGTGTAGTTCATAAATAGTGGAACCCAGACTGGCTACAAATAATTCTGAGCCATCTTTTACTCTCTGATAACTAGTTGGCCATGTACCATTGATTTCAGGTCGTCCGATTAATCGCGATTAATCGCGATTAATCGTCCTGGTCGCTCCCAAGTGCTCGATTAGGAGGTCCGACCCGACCAGCTCGACCAGAAACCTGGTCGTCCGATTAATCGACGATTAATCGCGATTAATCGTCCGACCAGGGCATATGGACGACCAGGACATTTATTTGTCTTTTTGGGCTGGTATGTGGGGCTGCTGGGCTTGGCCTGTTGGGCCTGTTAGGGTTAGGATATATATAGGAAGGAGGCAGCCAGGGATAGCTGACGGCTGCAATTCTTTCCCCCACACTCCACTTTCCCCGTCTCCCGCGCTCACTTTCCTCCCTTCCCGCGCGAGTTCCTCCCTTCCCCGCGCTTTTCCCCTTCTCTCGCCTCCTCTCTGTGAGTCTGGAGCAGCAGGGACAAACAGGGAGCCCTCTCGCCTCCTTTATTGTCTATAATATAGTATATATAGAGGTATATATATATAGAGGATATGTCCTAAAATACCTGGACGACCAGATGGACGACCAGGCTCGACCAGCCCGATTAATCTAGCTGGTCGACGATTAATCACGATTAATCGTCTGGTCGGTCCCTGGTCGACCAGGTTCGACCAGCCGACCTGAAAACACTGCCATGTACAGATGTTGAAGAATGAGTCAGTTCATACACATAGTACAAGTGTCAGTGTAGAAGAGTTCTGCAAATGACGGCCCTCATTATACTAGAATAGGTCAAAGATTCTGTTATAACACTAGCATGTAAACAATGGTAGCAGCCTACGCTACAAAAGAGTTTTAGACCTGATAAAAAGAAATTCGGAAAAGAAAATAAATAATTAAGTCATTTCCTCACTTCAATACTAACTGTTACTCGTCATGGGCCTCACCAGCAAGAGAATCTGGAGTTAGTCGATAACCACTTTGCAGAAGCTGTCCACTATCCAGATCATACTTCAGGACAGATATCAATCCATATTCATCACCAACATAACTGGGATAGTACAAAACAACACTCGAGTGTTATACAAGTAACACCAACCCTGTTGTAGTGTGCTGCAATAAGCAGTAAATGTTTATGTTCTAATTGGTGTCATACATAAAAGACGAGCCGCTGATTACAGAGAAAGCGGTTACGTTAGACTCCCACTGTAAACTACAAGCTATTGACCTCCTCTGCAGATCCCAAACCTGGAAAGAAATGAAATACCAATAGTGGGCTACTTATAAGTATACTGGTTTTAAACTTTGATTCTGAAACTTCCTATAGGGAACAAAAGCACCACAAATTTTATCTATAAAAATTCTTAAAGTTGAGTGGTTGTCAGACAACAGAAACGTCTAAGAGCAGAATTTTCCATATCACGGTTGAATTATAAAAATGAATTAACTCTAGGTTCATCTTCTGAAAATAAGACTCATTCTTTTCTTTTTCTTTGGTTTATTATTATTATTATTATTATTATTATTATTATTATTATTATTATTATTATTATTATTATTATTAAAGACAGTAAATAGCATACATAAAATTCCAATTAGTAACCTTGAGAAGAAATAAAGGGAAACAAGGAGTTTAATCATAATTGACCGTAAAAAAATATAAGAGAATTATAGACACCTGAATATCATTGTCAATTGTGATGCTAACTAAGAATCCGTGATTCTGCAGAAACTGCAAAAAGATGAAAAAAAAAGAAAAAAATTAAAGCAGAAATAGTGATACTTAAAAATACTCTGTGTCTAATACATAATTTCCTATCAAAATAACCATGCTACTAAAGAGAACACTACCAGCTCTCCTCTTTTCATTCATTCTCTCCCAGCACACCTTCAAGGTTCTATTTGATTCAGATGGGGGAAAATCCCAATCTGACGAACAATTTCCAAATCTCATACCCGTTCACTTGTCAAAAGTGTTTAATTATACAACATGGAAAGTGGGAAAGAACTAGCAACCAAAAAAAAAACCCTCGGAAAAGATGAAATTTTGGACTTCAGCAGTGAGAAATCCAGGACCGGCTCATAGAAATGGAAATAAGAAGGATTGCAGATGAGCAATTTACCACAGAGAGAGTGGCATTGCTTCGATGTGGTTTAAGACAATAACAGATATGTGTATACATAACAGACCTCCAAGTATTTGTAAGGCGAAAGCTTTGGTGAAATCAGAAGCCCTTCAATATTATCACCACCAATTACTTTAATCCTACCATCCCTGCATACAAATGTTGTATTGGTAGTAAAAGGCTCAACATCAAGAAGTGATTATTTGCATTTACATCACACTACTTAGACTGTATTACATTACACATTCCAAATAAATACAATGGAATCCTAATGGTAATGGTCAAGTTCTGTGGATCTCATTATAATAAAAACAGCGGTCAAGGTTCCATTTGTGATACAAAAAGTGGAGAAGACACACACACACACACAAAAAAAAAAAAAGCACACGCGCACACACAAACACACTCACATGCACGCAAGCGCGCTCGCACACACCCACACCCACACCCACACATATATAGACAGATATAATAAATTGGATTCAAAGTAATGATACAACTAAAAAACCATGGCGACTTGATCTTAACTGCACAAGCTAGAACAAGAATGAACAAATAATTTACACACTTACACACAAACTTTCAAGGTAACCTTCTTATATTCCTTGGGACTTTTCCTGCACTATTTACACACCATTGAACTTTCTGGGCAAGATTCTACACGTCTTCAGCTCAAATATCAAGTCAACACTTCAAATGACAACCTTGAAGTAAATTCATTTGAATACTTACTAGGGAAATTTGTAAACAATGTCACCTTCACTTTGTGTTCACAAAAATGTAACCTTTGCCCGATAATAGCAGTCGTTCTCGTCCTTGCTATGGACGTGAAAGACAAAGGTTACCTTTTTACAAACACAAAGAACAAAGGTAGCATTTTTACGAATTCCCCTACTTACTATAAGCCAGGTACAACATTACATAACTCCAAGTAGTTCACCGGACAAGTCAACATGTGCAAAGATTGAATCTTGAATTAATCAAGAAAGGTGTTTCGTAGGCTTACAATGTGCCAATCGCCAGCAGGCGCTGTATCTGATCACAAGCAACAATCGACGCCGTGGAAGGAATCCCATAGTGCACATCGATCCGAACATTCACGTCTTCCGACGTCAGTAAACCCTTTTCTTGGAACTAAAACAGACAAATGTAAAAAAAAAAAAAATCGAATTGTTGCATCAAATTCGATTCGCCGAGATTTCGATTGAATAACGTGAGTAGGAAATTGAATGGTTGGTACCTGATGACGACGACGGACGGCCTTCTGCAACAAACGTCTCGTGAACATGGCGATTGTTATAGCTCTGAAGTTACCAAAATTGGGTGTCAAGGTATTTATATGCAGCTGATCCCATTGTGTGAATTCCTGTTTGTTTCGAAGTCGCGGTTTTTGTGTTCAGCTATTTTTCCATTTTTTTTGCAGACTTTAAATGTACTTCTAAGTTCCACCATCCTCAAGTAATCAAGTCACATTATCAAAATTTGAGTAATGCTACGAGTACATAATAGTGTACATAAAGGTGTACATAACACTCACATTGAGTGGGACCCACTAAAAATACAAAATTAAGTGGACCCTACTCCATGTGAGTGTTATGTACACCTTTATGTACATTTATTATGTACATGTAGCATTTTCCTCAAAATTTTGGCAAAATGTCACTGACTCGACTTCGTTTGTAAAAAATATATCACCTTTTGGGCATAATTTCAAAATTAGCCCTATAATTTGGCCACAATCTAAAAAAACCACCTCGATATTGACGACTTTCAAAATTGATCCTACAATTTCAAAATTTAATCAAATATGGTCTGTTTTATCCGAAACATGGATTAAAATGTGATTAATAAAGGACCAAGTTTGATTACAAAATGACAAAATTTGATTAAGTTTTGAAATTATATGACCAATTTTGAAAGTGACCAATATCGGGATGGTTTTTTGGACTGTACCCAAATTCGAAGAATATTGATTAAACAAATTTAGATACTCATAATTTCGGGGTGACCTGGCCCGAACTGAACCGCTTTGGAGGCCAGCCCGGCATGCAGCTTGAATAGAGTTGAAGAGGTCCGCATATAAATGGGCCTGCACTAACACAATCCTCATTGTCCAAATCAACCCATATTTATGGATTGGTGAGTTGATCCGGAAAACTGGCCCATTTTAAGATGACACCAAGTCATAGAGACCGTACAGAAACATTGGATAATCATCAAAATGAAGTACAAGCACAAAAGCTCATAATCCTCAAGATTAAACAAGTTTATCACAAGAGCTCATAATCTTCATGACGTTTCAAACAAGTTTAAGGTTAAATTTTTTTTACAAAAAGGTCGTTGCTCAAGTAGTTGGGGATTATAAATTTTTCCAATTGATCCTTGTCTGCAAGCTCAAACGATTAGAAGTCGCACACTTCGGCCTATTTGCAACTATATACACAAACATGCACATTGTAATCAACTCACACATGTTAATCATCGTTTTTGTTGTGGAGTTATCGGATGGCTCGGCGTATGGAGCCATCTATTGTTATTCACAAATGATGTATTGACACGTGTTCTACAATAACTGCACATCGGACATGTGTCAGTACATAAAATTATGGATGACTCCATAGAATTTCTATGTTAATCACTTTGAAATATGTCTAAATATATAATTATCTTACAGTGAATATGTATAACAACATCAATATATTATTTCTTTTAATCATCCTATGGTATTGGGAGGAAATTAGTGATCATTTTAGTATATTAGAGAATCTAGCTAGTTCTACAAGTTATTAGCAAAAATACTAGGGAGTTAATTGTGCCAGCCATCAAATTACTCAACTTTCAGAGACAATTGATGCATAAATTCAAAAAGTCTAGAGGTTAAGCTTGTGTATAATTATCAACAACTGGTTTCAACCACTCTTGAGTCACTTTGTTGGCAACTTTGCGTCAAGTCGCCTTCATATGCTCACCTAATATGATTATTAATTATAGATTTATGACCCATTGATTTTGTACTCACTATGAAGCTATTATAATTTTCTCCCATTTTTTATTCTTTTCGCAAGACGAATATGCCTCGAAATGTACTGACGGGTACAACGGCTGACGTCTCAAAGGTTGCAGCACAATAACTTTCGAGATCCAGCAAACTTGAACGGAGTCAAGAATTGAGCAGTAGGTATATGCATGAGGCTATGGGGGAAGCGCAAGAATGCAGATGAGATTGTAAGTGTCTTTTGCGGCTCTATACCATGTCCTATTTATAGGACTTCCAGCACAAGTGGGAGACCTTTGATGTTCAGCTTGTAAACGTCCAACCAATAACAACCGACTGATGGTTATTTTAAATGGACAAAATGTTGTAACGTTTTCAGGTGTTAACTCACCTTCAGTCTACCTGATAACAACCATAACTGTCAGGTGGAAGGTCATATGGCCAAGTTCAATGAACCTGGTAAAGGTCATATTTGTTGGGTCAAAACTTGAGTTCAAATCTAACTAGATTTGAATTTTTATTTGGCCACAAATTTGGAAATAAAATTGCAATAAAAAGATATATAGTGGTTGGGCGAAAGGCCAATACCGACCCAGATCGTCCAAGGCCGCCCAAGTCCATCAATACTTGGTGCATAGCTTTGTTGTTGTGATCTCTCTAACTCTTTTTATTATAATAAAGAGAGTTAATCTTACTTAAGAGTCCAATGTGGGAAAGAACTATTGACCTTTTCAACTCCACAACCAACATTTTAAGTACCGATTAATAACTAACTTTAATGATTTATTTCTCACTCACCGAAAATTAGTTTTGAGAAATAAATATACCACGAGTATCTACTCGGAATGTAGAATTTTTTACATAACTTAATTCAAACAGAATTAAATATTTAGTCATAAAAATCAATCAAAATTGGGTCAAACCTATGTTTTTATAAATGACTTTCCAACAATCCCCTGCATGAGTGGATCGACTTTAATTACCACACCCTTAAGTCAAGTCGTAACAACTCGACCTCATCGCGACCTAACCTCTTGGTCTTTCGAGCTCTAGACTCGACCTCACAAATAAAATATGGCTCTTTACCTAAACTGCTATGCACCGCTCTCGGAAGAAAACCCGAGCTCATCATAGCATATTAGGGCTCACTAATGGATTTTGACAATCATCAATTCATTATACAACAATACTGTTGATGAGGCCAAACTGTTAAACAATCACATTTTTTAATAGATTTACATATTTTTAAATTGAAATGTCACACTTTAAAAAACAATATAAACAAAATCATGACATTTTATAGCGTATATATGCATTTTTATCAATAAAATATGATGAGTAAACCCATTTAACGATTAGACTAACTCATACAAAAATTTGTATTCATGATATAGTTCACAAATTTGAACAATATAATACTGTGAGATAAACAATACGAGACTATGTACATATCCAATTTTATAAACGTCATCTCCTTCAATACAAATGAGTGACACTATTGGAGAGATCTAAAGCTTAGATATCTATATCTTTTCAAGTTCGAAAATGTCATGTTTAAAAAATAATTAATAAAATTATAATATTTTATAATAAATGTATGTATTATAATATTTATAAAAGAGCATGACATGTTGTTCAAACTATTCCTCCATAAAACCGCATCGAACCGCAAACAATCGAACGTAGAAAAAAAAAAAGAAAAGAAACAAATTGCACTACTGATGTAGGGAAAGCGTGAACGAGCGGGAAGATACAAGGAGATACTCTCTCCAGAACACGGGATACTCTCCCAAAAAAATCACGATCAATTATTTTCATTCATCAAATTCTACTGCATAAAACAATAGATGGGGGAGCCCTTTAAATAAGACTCCTAAACATTATTCTTAACTTGTCCAACAAGACAAGATCTCTAATAATACTAACTTGTCTAACAAGACAAGAATCCTAACAAAGTGATAAATAAGTTTCCTAACAAAGTGATAAATAAGTTTCCTAACAAATCTATAATACCACTAATAATAATGATAATAATAATAATAAAAATAATAATAATAATAATAATAATAATAATAATTAAAGATTCTAAACATCCTTATCTCCATCATTCTCTCCCTGTCGAAAAGGATTCGCCCTCGAATCCGAAGTAATCTCGTCTTCAACTGCTCCACAATCCCGATCGGGCCAATTTGACGGGCCATTAACTTGGTATACTCACAAGCAGAAAATCTATGGCAGCAACTCTCTACTTTGTCCTTTTTGGGCACACTATGCGAGTTATCCAACACATATGCTTGTTGAATAAAAGACCATGAAAATTCATCTTCCAATTCACTGAAAACATCCATTCCAGGCACAACCTCTGGCCTCATAGATGATTCTACAACCACATGGTACTCGTCCTCCATCGACACCACAAGTGGCTCCTCATCAAAAATAGGCGGACCGTCGTACAATAGTCCGTCATTCTCCTCAAAAACCACACCTTGTTGGCCGTTGTGTACAACAACGAGCTTAGTCTCGACAGGCGGAGGCGGCCACTCTCCGAAGGGATCCACCTCCAAGATGGTCTCCTCGCCGTCTACATCGCCGGACGGTGGTTGTGGAGATCGTCGACGGGGCGCCCCGCCTGGACCACGACCTTCACTTCCTCCGTGAACTCCCCCGCGCACACCCCGGTCGCCGGCGGCACAGTTCATCTGCAAATCCGCAACAATCACGTTGTTCGGCGTCAAACACACATCCTCGATCCCCGTCGAAAGATCTGCAAACCAATCCGTGAAACGCACGTCCACCTCTTCAAATCGATAGTCAGTTTGTTGAAACAGATCGTTGAAGGTTGCATCACGTTGTTTGTTTGCGGCATCTTCTCGTCCCGGCGACATCGCGACTGTACTGACTGCTGATACCAACTGATGTAGGGAAAGCGTACGAGTGGGACGATAAATTGAGAACAGTCTCAAAATACCAAGAACAATATCAATTTTTATTCATTAATTAACCATCCATCAAAGTCATGGGGTTGAACAATATATAATAATCATAATCTTAGTCTCCTAAACTTGCCCAACAAGCTAGATAATTATTTACTTGTCCACTAAGCAAGTAATTATTCTCTTACCAATTAACTACTAATCATAAAAGGAATAATAATAATAATAATAAAATAATAATAATAATAATAATAATAATAAAATAATAATAATAATAATAATAATAATAATAATAATAATAATAATAATAATAATAATAATAATAATATTCATTCTCTATCAGTGGGCTTGTTTCGCGCTGACATTCCTAGCTTCGACAAGGATCACGTTGACGGGGCAATGTACGACGGTCCGTCCATTTTTGATGAGGAGGCCCCTGGGACGAAAACATATTATTACACTAATAAGGATCCCGCAGGGGATGTTGCAACGATTACGTCTTCGAATGGGAAGCCGTCACCCACCCGATTTTTTGCAATTTTGGCCAAAGATGGTTTTTCGGAGCCACAGCCGATGCCCGATAATTGGTGGACCATTTTTCAATTTCCTTTCGCGAAGTCTCCCAACAACGGGGTGTCTGGCCGTCGTTATGGATTTGAGCGCGGCAAACGAGCAGTTACTTCCGTGACCGTGATTCTTTTTACGTTCGAAGTTGTTGTTGGAGGACCTTCAACTTTTGTGTTCGATCGAGGGAAATATCGGGGGTATTCTTGTCATGGGGACAGCTCCAACATGAACGGATCGGATTCGAGGCCGAATCCTGCTCAACCGGGAGAGAATGATAGAGAATGAATATTATTATTATTATTATTATTATTATTATTATTATTATTATTATTATTATTATTATTATTATTATTATTATTATTATTATTTTATTATTATTATTATTATTATTTTATTATTATTATTATTATTCCTTTTATGATTAGTAGTTAATTGGTAAGAGAATAATTACTTGCTTAGTGGACAAGTAAATAATTATCTAGCTTGTTGGGCAAGTTTAGGAGACTAGGATTATGATTATTATATATTGTTCAACCCCATGACTTTGATGGATGGTTAATTAATGAATAAAAATTGATATTGTTCTTGGTATTTTGAGACTGTTCTCAATTTATCGTCCCACTCGTACGCTTCCCTACATCACCCACCCATTGACCAAAAGTGCTGCCAAAATTACACTGTTCAAGCCCAATTGCCGCAGCCACTTCACTGGCCCAAAAATATGGAATAAAATCATCTCTCACTTGGTCCAAATTAACGGAACTGGGCCGCCCTTGCAAAGGCCCAAAATGGTGAAGATAATTCTCGAGCTCTACTTCGCGTCTCTGCCCATCGATCTCTCTCTGCACAACGCACAAATCGCAAATCCTTCCACCTCTCCCTTCCCGTCGCTGCGCCTCTGCCAATCCGGCGTCGGTGCCTCGCCGGTCGTGCCCAGGTCCATCGGGACATTCCTCAGCGGCGCGTCGGCCGTCCAATTCCCAATCCGCTGCACGCCCTCCGTCTGGCCTCCGTTGTGCGCGTGGCCAGAAATCGCCTAGGGTAAGTTCGTCCGAACAGGTAACTCGACGATGGTAGTCGCCGGCATCCTCACCGATGCGCCGCCCCACGCGACCCCAGCCCGCCTCAGTACGCCGAAAATTTGTCCCCTTGGAATCAAAAAAAGACAACCCAGTAGGCACCTTCGTGCGTCGTCGGGTTGCGCCGCCATAGCCTGCCGCCTCGTACCCGTCGTCCCAGCGGCGGCGCGGCTGTCCGAGCCCAGTGAAGCTTGAGTCCTCTCGATCGGGCCCTCGTCTCTGAAATTCATGGTTGAAGCCTGATGCATCTCGCAGGAAATAGCCACCTAGGGTTGCGCGACTGGCCCGAAATTGGTAATCAACACCCTCCTCAGATTGCTGTGGACTGCGAAATCGGGCCGCTCCTAGGTTTTCCTCGCCCGTGCGCTCGCTGCCATCGGCCCTGCGTGGAGGTCTGTCGAAAACAGCACTCCACCGTAAGTCGTGGTCCCTCGATATGTCGTCGGAAACATCGCCGGTCAACGTTGGCAGTGGTGATCGTCGGCGGGGCGCCCCACAATAACCTCGACCCCCACGACCTCCGCTTATCCCTCCGCGATGGCCCCGGTCAGCCCCTTCGCGGTTCGTACGTACCTCGTTCATCATGGTATTCATAGCAACCCGTAATTCCTCGATCTCCATAGAAAGTTCATCAACCGATCATCCATACCTTGAATCCGATCGTCTATCCGTTGCAATCGGTCGTAGATGGTAGGATCGTTGGTGTCTCCTCTCATTGGCGGCATCGGGGAACGTACCCGGTCTCTGGATACCAACTGATGTAGGGAAAGCGTGAACGAGCGGGAAGATACAAGGAGATACTCTCTCCAGAACACGGGATACTCTCCCAAAAGAAATCACGATCAATTATTTTCATTCATCAAATTCTACTGCATAAAACAATAGATGGGGGAGCCCTTTAAATAAGACTCCTAAACATTATTCTTAACTTGTCCAACAAGACAAGATCTCTAATAATACTAACTTGTCTAACAAGACAAGAATCCTAACAAAGTGATAAATAAGTTTCCTAACAAAGTGATAAATAAGTTTCCTAACAAATCTATAATACCACTAATAATAATAATAATAATAATAAAAATAATAATAATAATAATAATAATAATAATAATAATTAAAGATTCTAAACATCCTTATCTCCATCAACTACAACTTACGAAAAAAATGAACCACATTGATATATATTGTTTAACTTTATTTTCGGTTTTATTTCGATCTTTTTACATATTTTATTCAATTTTAGTGCGATTCGGTCCAAAACAGCACCGAACCTGAATAAATATGAAAACCGAACTTACGAAAACATTATACCCGCACTTCACTATAATGTAGGAAAACAGAAAACAGAAGTTTTTGTACATAAAAAAATGAATTGAACTGCACCGAATTGCAGGAATTGTCTCGATTTTTAAGTTTCGGTTCGATTTTGTTCACCCCTATCCATGATAATATTGTCCAAAGAAAATTTGGGGAAACAAAAATAAAAAAGGAAAAGTTAAAATTCACGGGGTTCTTGGAGGCTGCACCTTTAGAGCCTACTATACAAAATAAAAGGCAACAGTAAAAAACTGAGCAATAAACATCACGAAAATCTACCATTTTCTTGTTGGGGGCATCCAATCATCCTTTCTTGCAACTTTGTTTGAAGAATTTGTTCACCGACATGTTTGACCTTATAATCTTTCATCACTCATAATCTCCCTGAAATTCACTCACACCAACCTGTGGAAATCCACCAAACACATACATAATCTGGTACGAAGATTTAGAGCGAGAAAGATCAATCCTTTTTGTCCGGGCACAAGGGAAACAGAAAAGACAAGAAGCACTCAAGAAAGATAGAGAGAGAAAATTAATCCATCCAAAAAAAAAGGAAAAAAAAAAAAAAAGAGAATGGGGAACTCATTTGGATGTTCTGCTTCAGGGGAGCGATTAGTATCAGCTGCAAGAGATGGAGATTTCGTAGAGGCAAAGATGCTGTTAGATTGCAATCCATGCCTTTCAAAGTATTCTACTTTTGGTGGTTTGAACTCACCCCTTCATTTTGCTGCTGCCAAAGGCCACAATGAGGTCAAAAATCGAATCTTTTTGTCATTCTCTAAGATTTATTTCTTCTTCAAAATATGATATCAATCTTTTTGGTCATCCCCCATTTAAGGTGTAATGAGTTTATTCCGATTCACAGTGGTTTTATTGTGGGTTTTGGTCGTGTGGCCCTAATTTGTGGAAATTTTGGGATTTTTCAGATCGTGGCATTGCTGTTAGAGAATGGAGCTGATGTAAATTCGAGAAATTATTGTGGCCAGGTTCGTCGTGGTGACAAAAATTCTAGCTCCCTTTTGCTTTCTGTTAATTTTTTCCTTTTTTTTTTTTTTCCTCTTGAAGAAATTACGAACGGTGTGCAAACAGTCTTGATTCTGATTGTTGGTAGTTCTTTCAGTGATGATCAGATCATGTCAGAATTCTCTCTCTCTGTGTGTGTGTGTGTGTGTGTGTGTGTCTGTCTTTGAATGATTGATCTCTGTTAAATCCAAATCTCTAAGTATTGTATAATTGCTTCTTCAGACAGCATTGATGCAAGCATGTCGATATGGGCATTGGGAAGTGGTTCAAACTCTTCTGCTTTTCAGATGCAATGTGAGTCTTTCCCGTTAAGTTTAAAGTTCGTGGCAGATTAGTATAATTCAGCCCTTTTGTTTTTGTCCGATCAAATTTGTGTACGGACCATACAAATACTTAATTTTACTTTTTGGTGATCCTGTTGAGTGCTTCTTAGGTTGTTCGAGCAGATTATCTCAGTGGGAGGACCGCTCTTCATTTTGCGGCCGTAAATGGACACGCGAGATGTGTCAGATTAGTTGTTGCAGATTTTGTTCCTAGCATTCCCTATGAATCGCTTAATCATCAAACAGTAAATGAATCAAGTGATGGTTCCAACAGCCGTACCACGAACGAGCAGAGGTTTCTTTTTTCTCAAAAATGAATTAATATGTTTTATTGTTTTACCTTGTTGCTCGTTAACGTTGTGGGATGCCATGAAAAGAGTGAAGCTGAAAGGAGTTATCTTGGTTTATTTCTTTCTTTGAATTTGAAGATAGATTGCCAATGAGGGTTGGATCTGCATAATTTGAAATTTAGGTCAACAAATATCATGTTTGAGGTTGCTGACTCCTTACAGACGAGCTTGGAGTGTTTAAGAGTTGTTTCAAGAAAGATTAACTTATCAGAAGAATCGAAAATGTAGCTACTGATCTAATTTTGCGAAATATGATAAATCTTCCTTGATGACGAGGTTATGATTCATAATGATAGTAAATCTTCCATAAAGAGAATCCTTCTGCTCAGAAATGATGTCTCTTTGCATGAAAATGCAAAACCAGAAACATGAACTGATATTCTCATTATGCACTGTCTTACACATTCATTCAGTGGTCTCTCCAAGTTCGTGAACAAGGCTGCTGATGGAGGAATTACTGCTCTTCACATGGCTGCTTTGAACGGATACTTTGACTGTGTACAACTTCTACTTGACCTTCATGCAAAAGTTTCAGCCGTCACCTTCCAATATGGGGCCTCAATGGATTTGATCGGTAAATTATCTTTTTTAATGTGGATAATATCTCTTCAAAGATCTCTTTTTGTTTATCGGTTTAGGGAATCTTGCTATTATTATAGGGGCTGGGAGCACTGCATTGCATTATGCAGCTTGTGGAGGGAATTTGAAATGCTGTCAGGTAATGATCAGTCAGTGTTCATTAACTTCTCAACATTTTTGTCGAATGTATCAATTAATTTCTCTTTTGTACTTTTAGTCATTGTATTTATATTGAAACGTGACTCTTACGCCTTTGCAGATCCTTCTTGCCAGAGGGGCTAGTCGTTTATCATTAAACTGCAACGGGTAATTTGTTTCTGAACATTTGATTATGTATTGGTCGATGTACATTAATTTCTTCAACTAACGTGGGGAATATTGTCACAGATGGCTTCCGCTTGATGTTGCAAGAATGTGGGGCCGTCATTGGCTTGAGCCCCTTTTGGAACCTAATTCGGACCTGCCAATACCTGTATTCCCACCGTCTAATTATTTATCATTGCCGCTTATGAGCATTCTAAGTATAGCAAGGTAAGGTAACATTATTCTGAATTAGCTGATGCAACTGTAACATGCAACTTATGTAGTTTAGGTAGTTATTGCTTATTTTCTCATCAGTTGAGAATGTCGAACGTCAAATTTCATGTCCCTTTTTTTTTGCAGAGACTGTGGGTTGCAGTTCTCGGCTAGTGCTTCTGATGATGCTGATACTTGTGCCGTTTGCTTGGAGAGAGTATGTACTGTAGCTGCCAAAGGTTCGTCTATCTAAACTTCCCCTGCTGCCTTACTTTTTTCAGTGGCATAAAACTATTGGCAGAAGTAGTAATAATATTTGTTGAAATCTTACTAATCTTTTGGCTATGTTTTAATCTGTCATGTTCAATTGTTCATTCCATATTTTGTTCTTTCCCAAAACTTTTAACTTGTTTATTCAATGGAAGTTTCATTGGAAAATTAATTGTGAATCCAACAAGTTAGAATACAGTCACAATGAGTTATTTAATGTTAAAAAATCATAATTTTTCTTAATAAAATCATAAAAAATAATATATTTTAAAAAAAAAAAAATTATGAAAAAAAAAATTATGTTGTAGTATAGTTGACTCGAAAATTAATTTATAACTTATGAATATATAAATAAAATTCCACTTACATTAGTTAAAAAAGACCTAAAAAAATATATTTTGAAGTTAGAGAAAAAATATGTTGCAAAAGAGAAAATAGAAGCTATCATCAATATTAGAAAATAAATTTATAGGGTAAGTTTGTAAATTTTGAGATTTGTCATATTTCCTTTAGTTGTGAGACCGGGTTTATATTATAAGTTAAATAAAGTTATGAGCTAAATTAAATTATAATTAGTTGAGATGTAAATTAATTTATTTTTTGTCTTTATTCTTCTAATTTTATTTTCTAAATAGGAGGCATGATTAAAATTATAAAAAATGTTCCCACAAATTTTGTTAGATACCTTGTGTTACATATGTTGGGATGGAGGCCGACACAGACCTATTAAATAAACATGGATTTACCATGATTTCGACGAAATATTTTTGTTAGAATTTTATTCAACGGGAGTAATAACATTGAAATATTTGTTAGAATTTTTGTTCAATTTTGTTGTAATAAATTTTCGTTGGAGTTTCATAATTTTCTTGTAATAAAAGTAGGGCTCCAAATCAATAAAAAAATTTGCATTATATAATATTGTGTGCAACTAATTACTATGAAAATTATTGATAATGATACAAAATATAACACGAATGTAATTATAATTTTATTTATGATAATTAGTAATTTTTTCAAAACAAACAAGATACATCTATGTTGAAAATTCCTTAATTATTTTATTAGTATTATAATAACTAAACAATGGTAGGAATAATGTTCTATGTAATATAATGTAAGGCTACACAATGAAAAACTTATAGCTCGCATTTAGTTCAAAAGTCAAACAAGTGATAAAATTAATTAAAGTGCTATATCAATTGGAGATGACTAATTGGAAAAATAAAACAAACTATGCAATTTTTTTTATTTTTTTTTTTATTTTTTATTTTTTTTTTTAACTAGAACTTTTAAGTATATATATATATATATGTGTGTGTGTGTGTGTGTTTGCAAGTCTTAATTTTTTTAATTAAAATGTAATTACTTTCTACCATTAGATTTTTCAATTTCGAAATACTTAATATTTTTTATTTGTTGCTCTTTTTATAAGTATACACATCATTTATTTCCAATAATGTTAATATAATTATGTCTATCCATATAATATATATATATATATATATATATATATATATATATACTCATACAAATTTAAAAAATAAATGGACCTAAAAATATCTTATAAAATAATTTATAAATTCATGTTAAATTGATTTTATTAAGTATAAAATAACATAAGATAAACTTTTGGTTGCATATAAGGAAAAAGTACAAAATAGATGTAAACGTACAACTGTTACTAACATTAACTATGCGAATTAAAAGGATAAATAAATGAGTTGTAAACATATATTTTTGGTGAATATGAAAATTTGTTAGTTACTTAATATTTTATGAAACATTGGCTCCCCTGTGGATCCAGAAACCGGCTCGATTCCGGATTAGTCGGTTCCCCTGTGGATCCAGAAACTGGAAGGTCCCTGTACCAAAAAAAAAAATATTTTATGAAACATTGGCAAAAAAAAAAATAAAATGTTATGCTTTAAATAATAAAAAAATTATAAACTTTGTAATACATAAATTATATTTTAATAATGACTTCGTATTAATAAAGTTCACAGATGACTAAAAGTATCATAATATAATAGAATTTTAATTCTTCTCATCTCAAATATTTTGACAAATGATATGCTTCTCAATATTATCTCATTGTTTTGTTTTGTCATTGTTAAAAATCAAGCAAATATTTATCTTGAATTTTCATTACATTATGTATGATGCAAAAAGTTAGACAATAAAAACATAGAAGAAGTTATTAGGCACATAAATATATTGGGCAAATGAGAAAGATATTATGATAAACAACTCCAATTATTGCAACAGCCAAGATGACCAATGATTTGCAAACAATATTTATGTTGTGTAGTTCGTCTATCTTCCTAATAAATAACATTGAAAACAGAATTTTGGAGCCTGATGAAAATCTTTTTGAATGTTTAAATGAATTTATCATATTTTGATAGGAATAATTACAATCGCACTAGTGTATTGTGCTCGAGCGTATGTGCAATAGAGTACGTATTTTCATGTAATATGTGATGATTTCAAAAAATAATTTAGCGTTTCTTGAGAAGTACTTGTAACTAAGATATTGGAAAGTCAATGTTTGATGAAATTCGTTCCCACCCCATGGAGCGATGCCCCAACGGGGATAGGTACCAATTTTGTCTATGTGGAGAGATAATGTGGAGAGATAGTAATGTATAGTTTATACAATAATAAAAAAATACAAAAAATTTTAATGATGCAATTGGTTGTTTCACAGAGCTATAAATACCTTATAAAGATCATATAATCATGTAAAAGTTTGACTGACTATATGTTTGGCTAGAATATTATTATATGTTTGAATAAAGTAGACGTTTTTCTAAATAAGTTAAGAAGAATTTTTTAATTCTATTGATGTATTGAGCTTCAACGGGTATGAAAATATTTTATGAGAACGTGAAAACCAAAATGAACAAAAATCACTCTTGAATCATCTAACATGAATAAATAAAAAAACTAATGCATCTATATTATATATGTCCTTATTTAGATATTTTTGTTTTCATTAGGGACTCACTTTTCATATATTTTTGTTGGGGTCGTAATATATTATTTCATTCATTTTATATTAGTACATCATTATGTTATTTTTGAAAGAAAATACATTAGAAGCTCATTTGTTCTATATTTTATATTTAATAAATTAGTTAATTAATTATTTTACTAAATTTAATCGACCAAAAATATTAAGCACCATGTCCATCGCATGTGCACTTTACTTGTCATCAAGATCCTCAATACACCCCTCAAAATTAGACTTATAAATATTCTTACACGCATGCACCTTACAATATTCTCAGGTTGCGCGCACGAACTATGTGTTCGATGTGCTCTATACCTCTGCTCGACCAGCAACATCCCTCTCGAATCAACCATACCTCCCGGCACAATCCCCTGCCCCCTCTGCCGCCACGGCATCCTGTCCTTTGCCCGCCTGGCGGGCCCCACCACCGAAAAACAGATCAAATTACCCATATCGTCCCTCGGCCTGTGCACGCCTTGCATGCTCCACCACCACCATAGGGAGCATCATGACCCTCCCGAGGCTTCCCGCTCGCCCGAGCCCAGGAAAGGGAGACGAACAGATTCTGTCTCGTCAGACATCTTTTGTCCCGTCACGTGCAGCCCTTTTCCATCAGTGGTGATCCCTCTCTGCACGTGCAATAAAGAAGGGCCCTGCCCGAACTTCGATGGAAGGCCCGGGCAGGATTGCCCGGATGGTTCGCAGCCCGTTACAGATGAACGGGAAAAAATGGAGGGCGTGAGGTTGGAGAAGACAACAACATGTTCGGGTATGTTTTGGGGTAGGAGGAGCTGCAGCAGGGAGAACCAGTGCAATGCCGAGATTAACGCATGACGATTGGTTTTTTTTCTTGCAAGGAATTCTTTTCCTTTTTTGTTTCAATATAAAATATTGGGAAGGGGGAATAATTGTAAGCTGGTTTAAGATTTTTAGGTATGCTAAATGTGAGTGTTGTTAGATTTTTTTTGATGTGTTTTCTGTTTCTTGAGCCAATCCACCTGTGTTAGCAGTTTGTTGACAAAGTATTGGTTCTTGTTTGTATGTGGTGTTTTAGGAATCTTGAGGTGTATGTAAAGGAAGTGTTATTGTTTGTTGCTAAATGAATTCCATGAATGCACACTGTTTCTTCATATCTTTTAGAACTAAATTCAGAAAGTGAAAATGTTTGGCTAACTAATTCTTGTATGTATTTTCTCCATTACTGTTAATTAGAAGACAATACTTCAAAAGACAACTAAATAAAACAGTGATTAACAATCATGATTGTTATATATTACAATTTACAACACACATCATCAGAAAATAACAAGAAAACCCCTCATACATCAGCACCAACACTCATTATTCCTAGTACACACAGTCTGAAACATCAAACAAACCAAAAAATGGTTTTATGATAAACCAAACCATCAGGAGCACACAGAACAGAAACTCTTCACAGACAATATTTTCATTTTTCTCTTTACTATGGTTTAATAATCATCGTCGTCTGCATGCAGTCTCTCTTTGTGCATTGAAGTAAACTGCAGCCACTGGCAAACCTAAGCCGTTCTCTTCTGCGAACCTCTTCGTGTTGAAATAATCCCTCGAAGTTGGGGCCCACACGGTGTGCCTCGCTCTCTGTCTGAACAGAACAAACACATACCGGTGGATCCCAATGACCGGTCTTGGTGCCTCGTAGCTCACAATTTCTCTCCCTGGTTCATGTTTTTACTCGTAAGGAGACAAAAAAAAAAA